CGGAAAAGGTAGACTGGGAGAACGACGTGGTAGTAGCGCAGCAGGAGGTGAGCGCATCGGCCACGAAGAAGGTGCCGGGCGGTCGAAAGGTGACACGGGTAGAGCAGGCTTGATTCGAGGGGCTGGCGGCTTGCGTCCGTTACGGAACTCTCGTGCCACCGACGGCAGAATAGCTGGGGTCATTGCTCAGGGAGTAGAATAGGAGGAGAAAGAGTGTTAAACTGTACGTCGCAAGCCATCAATCACCTTCTCAATATGAAGAGGAAGAGTCAACGCGCAAAGGTGGGAAAGACATTCGAAAGAGAGATCAGAATAGACCATACGAAGATCATTACTGAGATCAATTATCGTCACCTAATGGGGACATATCTGCACCAAGATCTCGATGAGAAGTGCGGGAAAGGAAATCGGCGAGCGAATTACGATCGCTACTGATATGATGCGCACGAAGAACATAGCCACCAACTGGCCAAGCTGTGGAAAAATAGTGTAGCAACTGGCGAAGACGGTGAGACCCTGCTCTGTTGTTGTTGATAGCATGAACAGTGGGGGTGTTATCGCACAGGACCGTTATTGAGCTTGGAGAACGCTTCAAAGCATGACTCACACCCACCCCCGCTGCTAAAAGCTCCAAGGGACATATGTCTGCGCTTGAGATAGAGAAAAGGGATTGCAGACGAGCAATTACTTGAGGGAATTCGGTGTATTGCGCAGCGTACCATTGGAGGTCGCTTATGGCATCCGAATCGTCGAGGTCAAGAACAACGCCTCCTAGACCATGAAGGGAAGCATCTGACACGACAACAGTTACACCATGGCCAACGGGAGTTCCCATCCTAGTAGCTGAGAAGCCGTGATATTAGTGAGACTCTCACTGTGAGAGTTGGCCGTGAGAGAATGTCGATGAACAACTCCACTGCTGTTCTTGCAGCTCGACCAATTCGACAGTGCCGTAGACTGTTTTCTAATGGACGCTTGGATAGCATATAATGAGCCAAGTTGAAGTCGCAGCCGTGGTAGGATCTGGGTTGGCCATGTCAGTCTACCAATTAGTTTATCAAATGAGCTCGTGGGAATGGCAGAGACAGGGTGTAGGACTTGACTGAGTTGTTCCAGTAACCGCTGACGCTTATCGGACGACACTAGCACAGTGGATGTGCACAGATCTCACTGATAACCCAAGCTATGTGGAGTAGTACTGGCACGTAGTTTCTCGTAAGCCAACTCCAGACCGAGTGCTGCATATATCAATAAAATCTCGAGCAAAATTCGAGATGCACGAGAACGTGTGCTGATCCAACCTAGATCGTCGACATAAACGATACCGGCTCCATCGAAAGATTCCCGACAAACGAGTTTCTTGATAATTCTATGGACAGCGCCCAACAAGCGACACCACAATAATGGAGAGCTACGAAGACCGAAAGAGTAGACGGATATGCTAAGAGAGTATTCCGCCAACCTCGTTGAGTAAATACTTCCTGTCTTCGAGTGCCACAGGTACATGTCGGAAGGCTGCAGCAATATCGGTCTCGATCCAGACTAGGTCATCTGAAGTGTTTCGCAGCATAGCAGTCATATGATGTATCATCAAAGCAGCCGACATAAGTCCAGGCAGAGCAATAGTCTCCGTACACTTCAAACGCTCATTGACTCCCGATCTGCGAAGGTCATCAATGAGGCGGAGTTTACCAGACGGTTTAACCACACATGCTAGCTTTGTAAAGACAGAATCCGCTGGGGGAGTGTCAAGTCGCTGCATATGGTAATGAGACACTTCTGAATCCAAAGCCTCTCGGACTTGGTTAGCAAGGTTGTCGCACGACTGATAGTTCTGCTAAGGTTGTGCCGACCAGAGGTCTAAAGAAAAACCGGAATGTTTCGGACCTTGATCCGGTGGCCATAATCTCAAGGGTGAAATAGGATAGCGCATACCAATATTGCAACCATGCTGAATCTCATCGCAAATGAGAGTATCCTCGCGATCACCGGGTACGGAAAGATCACGTAGAAGAGCTCTGACCAGTTGTACACGCAAGGGGGACTCAGGAGCAGTATCAGCGGAGCAGCTGAGAAGTTGCGACCAATGGTAGGCGAGCCGAGAGGCAGCTGGGAGAACCTTATCCTTCAGCAAGGTCTGGAACTCTTTGTTGGTACCTTGAGTCGTACGATCTAAACTCAAGCATGATGTAAATGCAGTATTGAAGGGATCTGCATTCCGCAGAGAGTCAACTTCATGATCAAGAGCATCTCGTATGGGGCGTAACATAAGTATGGATGTAGATGGGTAGTTTGCGAACCAATGGCATAGCGAGGCCCGTGACGAACCATCGGTTAGCTGATCCATACAGTCTGTTTGGCGGTCAACCTCACTCATCCGTGCTAAGGAAGCATAGTAATCAAGTTGAGTTTGACGGAGATCGGTAGGGAGCTCTGTGTTGGGGAAGAGGCGGCATCAGAGGCCCTCTTCAAGAGGGCTCCTCGCCTTTCACGGGCATCTTGCGTACGATCACGACGAAGACGACGTAAGGCATTTCGTCGTTGAGTTATTACTGCTGATCGAGAGTGGTGCAAGCGATTGCAAGCCATGAGAACAAACCGAAAGAAGAAAAAAACTTCGGAGATGGTATAATTCATCAGGTGCCGCGGTTCATTCACTAGCGATGCTGTCGTGCGAGTAGAGTGCCTGTCCCCATCTCCTCGAGACTTTGACCGAACGGGTCATATGTGGTTGTTTGTTGTTGTGTTGGTGTTGTTGTAGTTTTTTTTGTGCTCTTCACTGTCATCAGTGTCTCTCCTATTCGACAAACTAGTACAATCACAGAGTGCGGTATTGACCGTCACTGTACGAGGGGAAGCATACCCTCTGGGGGAGAGAACTGTGGTGGTTGTGAGTCAGAGTACTTAGGTATCTTCTGTGTACTTCTCTGTGTGCGTTGTGTTCCTCTGTCGTCCAGGATTTCACTCTCGTCGATTCCTTGTAGGAATCACTAGCAAAACAGCAAACTTTTCTGTTTTAACTTCGCAGAATGATTGGGTGATTGCGACAATGGGGTCGTTCAATAAACCGATCTCGAAACTCGGAAACGTTTCCAGAATTGCTCATTACACTTATAATACGATGCCAGAATCGATTCTAAATTGACCCACAATAGATTCAATGAACATGGAGAATGTGCTGTAAGACACCATCGAGGCAGTCTTACGGCACATTAAGGAGGTCGGCTTATTAAGCCGACCCGCGTGGAGCCGATTAAGGAGATCCCTCTTAATAAGAGGGATCTCCTCTTCGACATCTGCTTGATCTGGAGCAGCCGAATCTTATGGATCCTCATGGCACCTTACGTAAGGATCTCAAGGAGATGACCCCTCACCTACGAAGTTACCTCACGTGAGAAGGCACCCTTGCGCGTTGTGGGATAAGGAACCTAACGGAGGGACCTCATGCTACCTCACCCCCACCTAATCGTATCACTGAGGCTAGGGTCTCATGGAAGCTTGTGACGAAAGGTGGCAATTTCGTGGCGAG